TCTTTTTAAAAAAATTCCTTTCCATTGTGGTTTATCACAGGATATTGAATATATTTCTCTGTGCTCTACAGTAGGACCTTGTTGTTTATCCATTGTAGAGAACAGCTGATTTAGAGTGTGAGAAAAAGCCATGGGGTTCTGAGAGCTTTGAGGCTTTGTACCATCAATTTTTAAAATTAAATGATTGAGGTAGATTGAAATAGACGTGGACCCTCAAAATCTCTTCTCTCAAAGGCAGTAATTATGTCATGTCTTATTCACTCTGTTCTTCAGTTATTACTTTTTAAAGATGATGAAAGGCACAGAAGATGTTTCTTGACAAAATATAGTGTTTGGATAGATTTTTTTTTTTTTTTTTTTTTTTTTTTTTTTCCGGATTTTATTATAATAACGACCTCTGATGACTGTCTTCCAGGCTCCCAGAAATAGATTCTGCTCTTCAGTTCATCTCAGAAATCATCCATCAGTTAACCGACCAAAAGGCCAGCATTGTGGATGACATCCATTCTACCTTTGATGAACTCCAGAAGACTTTAAATGTGCGCAAGAGCGTGCTGCTTATGGAACTGGAAGTCAACTATGGTCTCAAACACAAAGTAAGACTCCATCCTTTCCTACAGACATCCTGTGAGAGGTGCACTATCCGGGGCCTCCCTGGCTCTAGCTTACTGTGTTCTACCAGCGGTAAAGGGAACTCAAATGGGTTAAGTGTCACTGTTGTTCAGTAAACAGTAGTTTTTATTTAGTGGCTTATCCAGCTATTTCTTCCTTCCTGTTTTCAGCAGAACTATGATTCTGTGGCTTTAAGTACCACTTGATAACTTGACACAAGGCAAAGTTGAATATAAAGTAATGCTTTCAGGATTTAGGGTTAAACTGGATTGTTTTCCTTCCTTAATTGTAATGTCTAATAGTCTTTAAATTGCTCTCTCACCCACACCAACCTGTTAGTCAACTTCAGAGTGAACCCTTTCAGCCTTTGTTTAACTCTGCACATCCCATCACAAAACCAGGGATGAAAGCTTCCGATATTCAGGTGTGGAGTTTTCGTTTGTCTGGTTTTTGTTCCTTTAGGTGGTGACAGGGAAGCTTTGGACATTAGACAAAGATACTGAATAATGAATAAAATTTCAGATGTCAGGCATAGCAATCTGGCTGCCAAGTGGTTGGCGACGTTTCTGCTTGCGCCTATCCAAGACACATGACCCCATAAATATGTGTGTGGGAGAGACAGGCGAGGAGGAAGGGAAAGA